TTTTTATTAAATTTCAGACAAATGCAGCAGCTGATTGGATATAATTCCACACCAATCGAAACTTAGAGTTCTGATTGGCTAAATTGAATGGCTTTATTAAGTAATACAGGTATTTGAATTTATTATAATCCATCATATTATAGAGGTGGGCAGCTTTTTAGGTGGGGTCAGCTTTTCCCGGGGTTCTCTGTAATAAACGATAGTCCAAGATGTGATGAAAATTTTGTGACATTGAAATTCGCGGACGGCTGTAATATCTTATTTTTGTATACTTGGAATATTTATTTACAAAATAATATACCGCGAAATCTTGCAGTTATATTCCTACATACCTTTCATTATATTTCACTTCAATATAAGAAAAGATGGTAATAACATGTTCACATTATTTTTTACGCGTGACTGGTTGACTCGCAGGTGAATTGACAGTAGATCTTTAAACCAGTAGCTACCTATTACACAATTTAACAGAGATAAAAACAATATGATCCACTCACTTCGAAAGTTACATTTATTTGTAACAGTCGATGCACTAACTGTAAAACGCAACAACCTTGTAAATCATCAGTGATATCTCTTTGCGTTAAAAGAGTGTAAATTCCGAAGTGACTGAGTTACTGATGAAAACCTGAATGACTGAAAATTCACAAACTATCGTACCAAATCAAAGCAAGTTGTATTACTGTTAGTACAAACGACTGCGGGTCCTCGCCCTTCCATCCACGTCGAATGCATTGCCGTGTCGACGACAGACCACAAGGTCTCAAACTCACTTGTAGTGAAGTTCGTCATGGTGCGAACACTGTCTGAGCCCAAGCCAGAGATGAAACGATCAAAGATAGGATCGTTGGATATTTCGTCTCTCTCAGAGACAGTACCAGCGATATCACCGAACTCGTCGTACGAGGACTGAAGGAAAGATTGGTCCCGAATGGACTGATCTTGTGAGCGGCTCAGAACGGCGTTGGCGTTGATGGGCATGTCACTCGAGAGGAGAATTGGAAAGTGGTGTTAGTGAAGTGACTAAACGAAGTCGGTGACGAGGGAGTTTGTTGTATTGGTTGTGAATTTGCCGGCAAAGTTGTTGAGATGCCGAGAAGTTTACGCATTCTACCTGATATTCGGTTAATCAATCAGGGTTTATTGAATCTCCTTATATAGTAAATTTTGCAGGCATTTTCGCCCCGTCTTTACATAAAATCAACTTACCAAAGATAATGTTTGAGTTTTATAGTGCTCAAACTATTTACCTAAAAATTGCGTTTATATCGACGCCATCAGTGCGGTGACAGTCAGAGGAGAACTTGGACAGCACTCGGCGTGCAGGTCAGGTATCGACGTGATACTTTCGGGGTGTACCTACTTTCATCGTTTAGATGCTTGGACCTAGTTTCATGAGCACACGTCAACGCAATATCGCCGAAAGCAAGGCGAGACTCAGCTATAATTTCGCGTACTAGGTAAATTGTCAGGAACACCAGTGAAGAACCAGGTAGTATCATAACAACTGATTGTATCAGTTATATAATTTGTGTGAGTACATCAAGTCAGACAGACATCCTGTCAGCATCTCCAACGGTGTTTTTATTTCTATTTCAATTCGAAGTTACGGATATAGAATAGAAATTCTTGCACTATCCGGAAGGTTTGTTGCTATTTCACCGAAAATAGAAATTCTGGAGTCGAAATTTCAAAAAGTCGGATAGTGCCAAAATAGCAACCGTAAAAACGAAGTTTGACTTTAACCTATGCTTTAGCAATAGGTTAGAATTTACCGTTGGAGATGCTCTCATTTATCAGTACATCAATCTACAACCCAGTGATGAGTTATATCGTAATTCATATAGGTTATATACAATATACCTGCATCACTGATCATGATGATACCTACTGCTCCTAACAGTAAGCTCTAGTGAGTCCATCACTGCTGAACCATTCCAGCTCAGTGGCCACACGCTTGCGTCCCTTTGCCTTGGGTGGTGGTAGAGTCAATACTTCCTCGCGGACATGCTGCTTGGTCTTCAACCAGGCTGCTGTGGCTTGGTCCGACCGCACACCATTCATCGTTGCCTTCTTCCGCCGACGGAGCATTTGTGGAAGCGAAAGCAGCCAAACCCCATAGGTACGAAAGTCACAACCGCTGAGCTCGGGTTGTCCGCGTCATGAACTGTACGAAATGAGGAATTGTAGGCATCACCCACGTTCTGAACGGACGAGGTAAAGTCGTCGTGTTCAGCGACTGTAAATGTCGGGTTACGCCGTTAGAAATTTTCGCCTTGAACGAGCGGAAGACGGCAACGTCCAACGGTTGGAGCAGGTGGGTCGAGTTCGGTGGTAATCGCACAAGGTAAACTCCATACGCTTCGCATATTGCTTGGCCACTGTAGGTAAGATGCGAAGAGCAGTTGTCCATCACAAGGACCGCAGGTCGAGCGCTTCGAGTTTTCAGTTTCCACTCGCCAAAGGTTTCCAGCCAGCTGTCAAAGAGGTCGATGTTCATGAAGGCCTTGGGCCCTGGCTGAAATCCATGTGACTAAGCCACGTTCCATGTCATACGGCAAGGCCTGCTTAACGCCACGTTGTCTAATTGAGATTGCACCAGTGTCAGCTTTCATCTTTATGTTCTTAAACATTGATGTCCGCTTCAACATCAGCCACTGTCTCGCCATTCTCCGCACATTTGAGTGCTGCCACGATGTCTTCGTATGTTGGCTGCATTCATCAAAGTATTATATTAACGTTATGGAAATTTATAATGCAAACGCGCGAAAAAACATCTCGTTTTCAAAAAGAGTTTTCGAAAGAGCTCTAATAGAGCTCTTTCGAATATTCGTATTGTGCTTGGTTGAATATTATTATATCCAATGAAAATCGTTCGCTCCAATTTGGATAAAATGTGAACAGTTCGCGATATTGATGGCGTTCGCGATATTGATGATTCATTAGGCCTTGCATTCCCTCGTTCCCTGTACTCTTCCTGAGTACATGTACTAACTGTAAATTTAGTACTGTACTAGTACTACGTAGAACTACTTACTGTACAGTACTACGTTGTACTAGTACTACGTAGGACTACTTACTGTACAGTACTACGTTGTACTAGTACATAGTACTGTACAGTAGATAGATTGTATATGCTATTGTTGTGTTTATTCTAAACTGGAGTGACATGGAGAATGAATGGACACTACCAAATGTACAGAAGAATAATCGGCAGAATGATTCAGCCAATCAGATTGCAGGAAACCATCATCAACGCTAAATTAATGTATGACTTCAATTAGTGTGATACCAATCGCCATTGGGCAGCTCGTTTTACATACAAATTTCAGTACAAAGAATCGATCGATAGATTTGGCGATTAAGCATAAAAGTCCAAATTTTTGGTAAAAGGACAATATTCAAGTGAAGTACGTACTCCACGCGGATGTACAGAATGGAGCAATTTTCAGTTAACCCTTGCATTCAAAGGAAGGACTGGTACATTCGATGAGAAAATGATGCCAGTACTTTGTCTTGTGCAATGAACACACGAGGAGACTGCTCCCAAAGCGTAAGCGGTATACAATCCAACTGTTTCCCAACTCTCAATACTGAAATCACATGTAAAAGGGGAACGACTGGTCCGGTGAATTTCAAAACTTTTGAGTTTGTTGGAACATAACTTCGCTAAAAATACTCCAAATTCCGGTCAATTCGAGTTCCTATAACTGTATAGTTAGCTGGTCTATTTCCCTCTAGAGATACCGTGTAGTGTATATTGTTTTGGACAGTCACCTCATGATACGGATACTGTAATTTGTTGTGGACATACAATACACTAGTATCCTTTTTATGCTCGGCTGACGTTGCAAATATGCGAAAATGAGATGATAAATTTTAAAGAGGTATCAATGTTCTGGAGGTAACATTGCATTATATTTCAGTACAAACATCGAGATATTATATTATCTACGACTAAACAACTTCGTCATGGTGGTTGACATCAGTGACGTCAATATCGCTCGCTGGTTCGACGGTCTCCTCAATCGCAAAGTTGGCAACCAAATGAACAAGTACGTTGGCATCCACAACACTGTCAACAACCACACACTCCTCAACTGCACTTGTTAGAAGTCGGCATTTGCGAAAACCGTTCAAAATCACCGTGGAAGGTAAGTCGGTCCAGGCGGCCGTGATCCATGACGCCATCGTAGATCTTGAGGGACCGCGCAGCTTGAAGTTGGCGTTTACGAGGCAGCTGTTGCACACTTGGCGCTGGATCTCAACGAGCCAATTCTCCCGCACCGCGGACTTCAACGGCCGGATCCACGCAACATCGGCTGGGTTCCCTCTATAAATTGATATTTTATTGGTAGATAGGGGTTATACGAAGTATAAGAGGTCCTTAAAGGCGCCAAGGATAAACTAGCCAAACTTGATATGTGTCTAACCGGATATAGCACTATTTTATACAGGAGTCCACATCAAAAAGGCTGTCTAAACCAATATACACTACACGGTAGTATAGTAGGTGAACGGTGATTTTTGCTCTCATTGGCTATAATTATCTCAATAGGCACCATTTCATAAACACATGATTCGAAAGACACATGCCACATGTCATTAAACCACCTCTTGTAGTCGGATACATGTGAAAAATCTAGACTCAATCGAGTAAGCCCCTGGGAACCATAGCTCAACTGTTGCTTACAAATGTTAGCTACTATGTAATACATCTCCCATCCAAAGAACCACAATTCATGTAACCTTGGAACCCGGATCCACAAGGTGCTTCATTAGTGGTTACCTACCATTAAGCAATTCACCTCTATCTAAATTTTTATGTTTAAACTACATTTGACTATGCCGCGACTTCAAAGACAAAAGAAAGATGTCATGCTTCTTCCAATTACATGGACGGAGACGTCAAGGTGTGTAACCAGTTGGAAATGCCAGACAGCCGAGCGGAATACAAATCGCTTCATCGCGGGAAGTAAGGTAGCGTTGAGTACTGTAGTACAGTAATCACCACAGCTGGGAGACCAAGTTTGTCGCCCAACTTCTTGATTCTCATGACGTGGAAGCGAAAGTCCAGCAATGCTTTGGCGTCGGACACAGCATTGAGGTTGCACCTGATGTCTGGGATAACTGGAGTTCAACGTAGTTTAACGCAATACACAGCACTAAGAAACGACGTCGCTGTATCGTTGTTTTCACGAAAGGGGCATGCAAGGACAACTCCCACTGCGTGAGCACCATCGCTGGACAAAGTGATTTCCCGCCGTAGGTACAAGGGAAGTTTTTGCGATATAGAGTTGGGATAGGGACCACGAATTTCTATTACAACACAGTAGTTACGTCTATTTTCCCCATCTGTTTCACTTAGCAAAGTTTGTTCTATATACTGCGTAGTATTTATTCCATTGCGTATTGGGTTATCTATTCATTTAAATGGTGGACCGGGCAAAGTGTATTGAAGACGTGGACGACACATACCAGTGTAGTCTCATGTAAAGCAAACAACTTGCCAACATCATAGGTCCACTGCACCTCCGGAAAGGCAGCTCACTATGTTCTTGAAATATCCAACTCACAAACATAGACGACACATTTCTCTACCCATCCCCGCATCTGCGTCATCTGATTTCATGGCATTCATGTGAAAACGTGGATCGAACGCAGCCCCATCCTCCCGAGTGTCACTCATTAAACTTCCTTCACCATGAAAGTCGCATTTGCATTGTCTGCGCTCTTCACCTCCGTCGATGCCAATCTCAAAATCGTCGGGGGCAAGGAAGCTGCCGTTGGCCAGCACTTGTACGTGACTGGAATTCGCTCCTCAGCCTCTGGAATCGACTCGTGCGGAGGTAGTTTGATCGCCCCCAACGTCGTCTTGACCGCCGCCCACTGCATGGGCAAACGCCTTGAATATGTGGCCATTGGGTCGCACTACAACAACGGCACCAAGGACGGTGAGCAGATCAAGGTCAAGCAAGAGATCAAGCACCCCAAGAACAACGCCAAGACCAATGCCTACGACTTTGGCGTGATGATTTTGGAGCGCGAGTCCAAGTTCCCGGCCGTGGAAGTGTCCTTTGACACTGTGGAAGCTGATACCCCCACGGTTGTACGTGGCTGGGGCACCACGTCTACGGGCGGGTCTCTGTCCAAAGTCTTGTTGGAAGTCGGGGTGGATACGGTCAACCAAGAACAGTGCACCAAGTGGTTGTCTGGGCACTCCGTCGACGCCAGCATGTTGTGCTCCGGCGGCAAGGAGGGCGAAGATGCGTGCCAAGGCGACTCTGGCGGACCCTTGACGGTGGAAACCAACGGTTCTGCAAAGTTGGTGGGGGTGGTCAGCTGGGGGCTTGAGTGTGCCGAGAAAAACAAGCCAGGCGTGTACGCTCGCATCTCCATGGCTCGCGAATTCATTGAGCCGTACCTCAAGAACCCCCCCACCTCGGTCCCTGGCCCGACCAATCCTACCACCATGCCTAACATCACCACGAAGAAGCCCACGACTGCCTCCCCTTGTACCACCTCAGCCCCTTGCCAGACCAAACCTACCACCTCGGCCCCTTGCCCGACCAAACCTACAACCTCGGCCCCTTGCCCGACCAAACCTACCACCATGCCTAACATGACCACGATGAGGCCCAAGACTGCCAACCCCAAGCCTGGTTGTGCCACGTGTAGCTTTTGCTACTATCCTGGCGCCGACTACTGCTTGGATGACTTCTGCAGGGACGACTGCGAATACTACAGTCTTGAACATGGAACGTTGTGGTGTGGCAACTAAGAGAGTTATAGTTAGTTGTTAATAGAGAGGTTTTGTTAATTTTTCGCTCGCGGTCGCCTTCTGCTCCGAACCAACGGAATATCAAACATAGTTGTCTTGCTCTGGCGAAATGGGGACAAAAATACTGGGATACATCCCCAAATTGTTTGTAACTTCGAAGGTACCACTATTGTAACGGATAGATATTTGGGATGTGGTGGAGATGCTCAAATTGGTTGCATTGTAGCCACTTACCGGAGTCCGAAGATACCTCCACGATTAACACGAAATCGTGATGATTTGGGCAAGCTGGCGAAATGCTAGACGACCTTTTGAGACGTAGCACTTTTGACTGTGAGGGCGTTCGTTCATGCTGAGAAAGAATCGTATCTAGCGGACACAGTACCGGCGATGTAGTCGCCGTGCAATTGGTTGTGGTGGGAGGATTTCGAAAATGGGGTGACATTCACCCCATCGCCAAGGCGTGCTGCACGAATTTTGCATTGGCCAATAATACAATTAAATTATCTAGTTTTGAAGAGATAATTCTTGATTGGTCAAAAATGATTGCTTTCAATGTTGCACCGAAATAAATCTATTTTCCTTGATGACACATTGCGCCAGTTCCTACTTGGTTCTCTGTATGTATACAGAGCATGCTGACGAATCAGTGAACAACGTGAGTTGCTGTCTGCGTACGACCTTAGCCCTATGCAGGATTTCATTTTCTCTCAGGTATTCACATATGGAATGAACGAAATGTGATGTTCTTGAAAATATATCCGGGCTTGTCACTATGTGAACTTCATGTACGGAATGCAACGACGCAGGAGGATATTTTGCGCTACAAGGTGAAATCAGTTTAATTAACGTTTGCCCCTGAAAACACCAATTCTGGGTTAATGCTGAACAGTACTGCCATAGCTTACCACAAACATTACTGTGTATTGCTAATTCACATATCAACATTACACCTTTCCGGATCAAAGTGCCTTATTCCAATCAAAGTATTGCTAACTCATATTCGCGTAGAATTTCAATTTAAGAAACATATTTTGGAAATCGGTGCCGGGCTGTCGGGAAATGGAAGCATCTCGGCACTGAGGATTGGGTTTCGACGTCTGAAAAATGATAATTCAAGAGGAAACACAGGTCTTTCCAGTATCTACCATGTCCTACAGAGAACCACGTAGGAACTGGCGCGCGCGTTGCACTCGTGTATATATGGAATAAAGTATGCACGCTGAAAGTGATGGATAGTATTATTTATAAAAATATGCAAATGCAACTCATTGTTTTCTGGAGTAGTATTTCATGATTGGATATATTTTAACTAATCCGTGATGACCTCAAAAATGTTCCTCGTGTCGAAGTGCAGTTTATGACGTCATCGAGAGAAGTGGACGTCCATGCTGCATTGACTCGACCTTGCGTGGCGGGCACCGAGAGTCCTCACGTAGTTTTACTCACTTCATTGGCAAATCACAATCCTTTGATGCACCGTTCTGAGCCCTTAGATCCTAACATATACCCAATTAGCACCATCCACCACCATGAAGAGAAGTCTAGAGAACGGAGTTCGTCGCTGTGATTGAAAGTGTTGGCGTTGTAATAGCTCGTGGCTTCATGGGTTTTGTGTATTGCGCAATATACTAAAGTACTCCTAACTATAGTGTGTAAATGATGCTGGCACTCACGCGCGTGTTCGACCTTAACGATACCGGAATCCCCACCTTTCGTCGCAATGGCTGCGATTGCGCGAGCTCGCTTTCTAAAGCATCCCACATAAAGTTACAGTAGAATGAAAACTAAATCTTTCATTGAAGCACCATGATGACGCGTCAGCCAACCCTCGAGGTGCGAGTAATCATAATGTATTTGCCACCACCCTTGTTGAGCATCCTCAAATCAATACTACGGATAATAATCCGTACGTATATCATGAGTGCACTAAGCAACTACTACGTACTACGTAGTAGTACAGGACGAGGTTTCCACGGCATGTGTTTCGTGAGCACAATGGGAAGGCCAGTTTGGCAATAACATTACTGGTACTATTAATTGTGGAAGAGTCCTTTCGGCTGTCGAGGTGAGCTGTCGGCACCCATATGTTGCGGATATATATGCGGATTGATTTCAGTTTCCATTCATTCAGAAAGAAGTATCGATGTGAACGGGCAGATAGCGCACACGACGGCGCAGCATGTCGACGGTACAAACCACAAGCCTGGGCTACCCAACAGCTTGTGTGTCCATGAATACCACATCACGATACTTATCAATTCGTTTGTAGGCCCACGACGATCAACACATTACCAGGTATCCCCTCCACATGACAGGTATATACGTGTAATCATCGTATAAACATGGAGTTGGCTTACATAGTTCATAAATGCCCCCTGGAGCTATCGCTCGTATGCATCCAAAACTTGCATCACCACCAATAATTTTTGCGCATTCAGAAAACTGGGTTGTTCTTTCATCGTTCGCTAGTTAGTATTGTATACCGTTACGCTTTGGGCGCAGTCTCCTCGTGTGTTCATCGTTTACTTCTAACGTTAACGGTATTACTACAATATACTACTACGTACTTCGAAGTAGTACAGTACTTACTACCTCCTTAACGTTACGGAAATGTGTACAATTTTTATCCTTCCATGAAGGTAGGTACTGCAATTTTTACTGTACCACCTATTTTGATCTAAAGCTTTGTAGATGGATAATTTCTCCTACAAATCAGATACTACTTCGAAGTATACTACCGTATACCCCCCGCTTCAGTACCTATGAAAATGTCAGTGAAATCTGATCACAACCGATACAGCTCAGCTCCAAGGGGTACCTTGAAAACTATTCAGGCAAGCGCATTGGTCTAAATCCATCACAGGACTTATATTTCATCGGATGAAAATAATTAACGCATGGTGATTGGATATTTCTGTCCAATTAGAGACAATTAGGTACACGCCCAACCGGAACCATGAAAATGTTCGCCATTGGCCGATATGTTCCAAACCGGTACAAGTCCAACCGGAGAAATCATAGGTACTGAAGCGGGCGGTATACGGTAGTAACGTGGCCCACCAATGATGTGCCGATTTTTCTTCATTTTGATTTTCAAATATTTCAGTTGTTTTTTCGAATCCTCCCTTGATACATACATTTTTGGATGGATAACGTTGAGCTCTTTCGAATGAGCCCAAAGTATATCGATTTGAATAGTTTAGGATTGCACAATTAGTTTTTGAAGTTGAGTACTTTACAGAGGGCGACCATTGATGTGCCGATTTTTATACTTGAGTTATGTATTGAAAACGAAAGTTTCAACCTATTTCTACAACATACGATTACCATTTTATAAAAGTTTATACAATTCGAACAGGTATCATGTGTAGAAGTACTTTTAAACACAAATGTTGGGGTTCATAGCACGAATATCATTTGTCTAGAGGTTGCATTTTGTCCAATGAAAATCGATTTAGGGTTTGATTGGATGAATAAGTCAGCACATCAATGGACGGACAATCGGTACATCAATGGTCGGCCACGTTAGCTTTGTTTTTATCATACAGTGAAGCTTGGTTTTTACTGCGTAACGTTGCCGACCAGTGATGTGCCGATTGTCCATTGATGTGCCGATTTATTTCATCCAATTAAATCGTTCGAGCTGCATTATTGGACAAAGCAGAACCTCTCATTCCAATAATCTTATAAAAGTTTATGGTGGAAAAAATTATTATATGTAAAAGATTTTCGAGTTTGAATTGACATCCAAATGCCGCCTCGACGGCGGACACTAACGACACCCTATCCAAAGCCCATTCAGTAGAGTGATTATCCACACGATTTTTCCAATACAATTTCCCTGAAAACGTTAGTAGTGTTAATATGCACACAGTACTATAATTCTACCTCAGTTACCGACCGGTAGTACATTCCGTACATCTGCGTACAGTATGTAGTACATTGTAACGTTACAGCTCATCCACACAATGTTGTGTTCATCATATTAACGTCAGCAATCAGTGATTTGCTATTGCATCAGTGATTTTCCACGATGTATCAGCCAATAGTACAAAAGAATGAATATGATTGGATAAAACTGAAACCCGCAAGAAATTGAACCTTTAGTACTTAATGGAGGGAAAATATATCGATATCAAGAGATATCTGCATGTACACACTTCAGTCAACGTTGAGACAGAGTCCGATCGTGCCGAGGTGCTGAATCTGGCCCTTGAAGTCGTTGTAAGACCACGACTGGCTGGCCGTGTGGTCGCACACGCGGCCCTGCACCAATCCTTTGACCTTCCTCTCAACCCAGCCCAAGCCGGACCGGCCGTTGGCTTTGTTGCGGATGCGCTGGAGGAGCGGATCATAGAACCACACATGGGCGTCCAAGTCGGCGCTCTCCACCACCGCCTCATCGTCAAACTGATTTGCTACGCGCCAAGGGCATGGCTTGTATCGTTGACCATCGTTTGATCAAAATCGCATGGATGAATGTTTCCCTTCTAAACTTAACTACTTCATACATATAGTAAAACTTTATAATATTGTAAATGCCGTGTAACTTGACGTGATTTATTCGATACTTTAAACAAATATAAATTTTGGCAAATCACTGATTCCCTGTTTGAGTGGCCATCTTGACTAATGTTTTGATCGACTAACCATCCTTTAAATTGATTTGTGTTTGTCTCATGCGAAAGAGCTTGAAACGGGGAATTAGGATATGCAACTTCCACATTCAAGATGTCACTCCTGAACGAGATATGGCCAAGGGAACATTACACAAATTTGGGAAATCACTGCTTGCTCACGTTATGCTATTACTACACACGAAGCACTTCATACTACCGATAATGTTAGTACTAATGTGCTGAATGCCCGTTCGAATTCAAAACCATAATCTTTACCACTTACGTGCAATTTTTTATCCGTTTATAAAGGTACTGAATTTTTACTGTACGGCCGGCCTATATTGATCTAAACCTTTGCATATAGATAATTCTACTATGAATAAGATAACGTTATAGCTTGATAAAATTATGAGGAAACACAGTGAAAATCAATCATCGTTCCTTACAGTGGTTGTCGTATAATTTCAAGGGTATTCTAATTTGGGCACTCTAATGAGTGAAACCTGGCTCCTAATGAAAATCTCTATTTGGTAGTATTCCTACAATCCAGGCAACAACCCATTTTGGCCGAGATACGCTTGTTAAAAACTCAAAAAGCCGAATCAATCAAACATTTTCGTACGGAGGTAGTACTACAGTAGGGATGCTAGCTAACGTAAGCAATCACTCGGCCGAATTTGATGATGTTTGTTTGGAGGATATTTCCTGCAGTATTTACAACCAGCTCGATTTATATAATCTTTTGTCCAAGCCCTTACTGTTAGCTCGATTCAGCCAGATGGCAATAAAAATGTTTGGACTTGAAGTAATATAATTGTAAAGATGGTCATTCCAAACAATGAATCATCGATCTACCACAATATTGATGTGATTAGAGTACTAGGAATGCCTCGAGCAAACAATACAAATATCTATATATACAGTTACTATTCGTTTATAAAGCAATTGAGTATTATAGGTTCAACGTACCTCTGGATGATGTTGAAACTCTATAACAATATTCCTCGAATAATATTAGCTAACCAAAGGTTTCATTGCTGCGGTAAATATTTTGATCCAATCATATCAAGTTTGACATTCTATGGGGCAAGACTTTTGGTAATTAATGATGCATCGGCAAATCAATGATTGTTTACGTTATCATCGAATGGACGAGGACATGCTGAAGTACAGTCATCCCCCGATTTTTGCAGCCTGGTATAAACGAATATCCTGTGTAATACCATTGATATTTCAATTAAACAGGATATTGAAAATTTAATACTTGGAGACAGTAGGAATCAAATGCTGTGCCAGACCAAGTCATACCACGATAACACGGGCGTTGTCCATTAGCCATGCGAATTCTTGTAAAGTGATTAACTCTGCATACACGACGACATGGCTGTCGGCACAAATTCGAGCACTGCATAACAAGCAAACCTAGAGTTCAGGTATACTCCTCCAAGACTTCACATGACCCTTCAACATAAGTACCTCTATAAAGCTATATTTGCTAGGGGTTGCAAAAATCGGGGGATGACAGTGATCCCCCGATTTTTGCAGCCTGGTATAAACTAATATCCCATGTAAATCTATACAATATTAAGTTCAAGAGGGATTAATACAATTTGAAATTCAAACGATTGAGGTCATTCCGGTGCAACAATCGCAGGTTAACGACATTTGATCTCAGTGCAATCACACAATGCCAGCACCTGCCAAGCGACTGACGCTAATTCAAGAAAACAGAGTCAGAGCACATTACAGCTGCACTTCCGACCGCACGTTATCGATTGCATGCACGTGGATCACACAGGAGTTCGGCGTCGTCGTGCATCCTACCACTGTTGGTCGCATTGTTCGGGACGATCGCACCAGCTCAGCAGCAAACATTGATGCCGACGTAACTGCGGCACGCTACAACATCAAGGGACCAAAGCTAACTGAGCTTGACACTGAGTTGGCGGCTTGGGTACAAAACGCAAACGACAACTACTACTGTAGTACTGTGTGCAGTATCACATCTCCTCCTTTCCAGTACTGTACTGTAATCATAAACTGCATTCTATGCGGTATCAAATCTTGACCTTCTACAGTAGTACTCCTTCCAGTACTAGACAGGGTACTAGCATGATGCTCTCAGCGGATGTACCAGGCCTTCCTTTGAATGCAAGATCTATTGAAAATTACTCCATTCTGTACATCCGCGTGGAGTACGTACTTCACTTATTAGCATATACAATTTATTGTTACTATGTACTGTTGTAGTACATGTAATGTCCCTGTGTACGCAGGAATAATAGTACAGTTGTACTTTAGACATTAATCAGTCAAATTAGACTATTGTTGAATTCATTCATCACAATTACATTAAAACTGTGATTTCTCTAAACTATGGTCATAAATAGTGCAATGAATATCTTGAGATAGCTTACTGTTAATATGACGCATTTTGACGGTTACGTTGAACTTGATTCAAGTAACGTTATGTATTGATTATTATGACGCATTTGGACGGTTACTTAGACTTGATTAAAGTAACGTTATGTATTGATTATTATGACGCATTTGGACGGTTACTTAGACTTGATTAAAGTATTGTGCATTGTATACCGCTTACGCTTTGGGCGCAGTCTCCCTGTGAATCGACCTGTGTGATTCTTAGTGCGCACTACAGAGAACCGAGTAGGAACTCGCGCACAGTGGTATTTTGAAATATATGGGGAATTGTATGCGAATGCGCAAGTTGTGATTCTGAGTACGAATTATAATTTTGCAATCAGAACAATCTGATTAATTTTATTATATCCAATCATACAATTTAAAAACTTTTTATAAGCATACTATTGGTTAAAATATAAAATATGAAAAAAATACTATTGGTTGACGACGGAATTTGTGAATGCTCCATGGAAAAAAAATAGTGTTGATACAACTGTGCGCGAGTTCCTACTCGGTTCTCTGTACTTTGTAGTATCGCCAAATCTATCGATTGTGTATGGTACATGTAGTGTATCCTGTTTTAAATGTTACTAGCACTTCACTTGATTAACGTATACTTACTTACGTGCACATATATTACAGTATGTATTGACTGTGAATACTAGTCATTTTGAATGTTACTTCACTTGATTAATATATATAATCTACTGAACATATACTATTAATAGTACAGTGCTAATATGTAATGTGCTACTTACTACAGTGGATCCCCGGTTTTTGCAGCATGGGTGAAATATAGCTTTGTAGAGGTACGTATACACAAAGGTTATGGGTTTTGAGAGAAATTTGTCACCCTATACACCCGGTGTTTGTTGACTTTATAGCGAAATTATGAAACATTTGGTGTGTAATTTTCCAGCAAATACCCACCACCTTTCGATAAATACCCTGAGTAGTTTTATACTATATAAGTACGTATTGAAATCTAGTACAGTACAGTTGTATAATTGTGACATTAGAAGTACAAAATATCTAGCTTGTGTGAAGTAACTCTAATGACATTGGGGCGACAACGCGTATCTGGTCAAATGCACTCATCAAGGGCTAAGGGCTATTGATGCACAATCCCTGTATGCCTCCAACAATTGCGGATTTTTGTTGGGGTGTCGCGGGGTTTTACGACAAGTTGATGGGTAGGCGCGGCGCAGGCAAACAAGGAGACCTCAAACCCAGGTATGGAGTTCGAGGCAAAATGTAAAGTCGAGTTAGTTAAAGGCGTGGTCGTGGCTGTAGTCCTAATGCTCTAAGTTCTACTGCATCAGCGGTTGGTGGTTGAGGGATCTCCGTCTTGGTAGATCTTCGACACCCGTATGACGGTCCTGGTCATCGAGTTTGGGAGGTATACAAGGTCTGGGAGGTCTAGCCAGAACGGGAAAGGCAACGCGGTCTTCAGGAAGGTCAGAGGGTCGATCAGGGCCTCGTCTGGCTTCGCAGTCTCGGCAGGGTCATGGACCCCGCAGTCGCACCGTGACATTCTCCCCCACTTAGGCCCGAAGCTCCGTCTCAGGCTTCAGTCAGTTCACGGGGCATACAGTCGGTGTAACAGGTCGATAGGATTGGCCAACCCTGGGGCACCTTGAGTGGCTCTCGGTCCCAGGTCGCGCGAGTGATTGGGCAAACCAAGTAGCCCCGGGAACACCGTTGGCCGGGGTTTTCTTCAACCCGGGACAGGACAGCGGAAGGGTCTGGTCCCAGGCCGTCTTCATTGCACTTTCGCATTCGCCATGTCCACGCCACCAGCTCCTGTTCCGCCGGCCGGGTCCTCCTCTCCAGCGCCAGACGCATCCCACTCATTTCTGGTGCCGCCAGGATCGTCGTCGGCCGCGGCAACCGGGCCGTCCACCGCACTGGCTTCCAGCCCTCCTGGTCTTTCTAGTGCCAGTGCGCCGGCCGTGGAGTCGTTGTGCGCGTCGTTGACTCGGTCGGCCTCGGAGTGCGCCTTGTTGTCGGCCAGCCTGGACAGTGCTCGGGCGGCCGTCCAATCCACCCTGGTCACTCTCCGTGCCGTCCACGAATTTGTCTCGGCCAAAGAGGCCGCCGAGAAGCTCCTGGCCCGAGTGCAGGCCGACCTGGTGGAGCGCGAGACCGACCTGGTCGTCGAGCGCAACTCCCGTGTTGCGGCAGAGGCGTACGTGGCCGCCCTCCGGGACCAGCTGGACAGTGAGACTCGTCGCGCGGCGGAGACCATTGGTCAACTGCGTGGCGAGTTGGCGGTTGTCAGCAACGAAGTCGTGGGGTGGTCTAAGCGTTTCCAGACTGTCGACGCGACGGAGGCCTCCCTTCGGGCATTCATCGCGTCTCTGAAGGACCAGTTGGAGACCCAGAGTCAGCAAGCGGCGTCCCT